GAGAGAGAGAGAGAGAGAGAGAGTGTGTGTGAGAGAGAGATAGATAAAGAGAGAGAGAGAGAGAGAGAGAGAGAGAGAGAGAGAGAGGGGGGAGAGAGAAGAGGGGTAGGGATACAATATAATTAAGAAAAAAAATATTGGACTCTTGAAGACAGGGGACGTACATAACCACAATAATGTGACTGAAAACTGTGTGTCCCTTTATATGTACGCATGTTTGTTCACTTAAGCTTCAAACATACATAGTCGTAATGGGAAGCTGCTAGGTCGTAATGGACCTCTGAGCTTTTAAAACCCAACAATATACATTTTTAAAACACATCAACTTGTGATTTAGAGTTCCGTCTAAGACGAATTAGTAAGACAGTACGTCTGAAAAGGTAGGGGAAGCAGACTGTACCATCAGACCATCAACTACCTATCACGGTGTCCCATGCTGGTTTTTTCTGAACACTTTTTACGCCCAACCATTTAGAAAAGAAATTTAATGCTTTAGACCCTATCGGAGATGGACTTTACATGAGGGGAAGCCTTTTTACAAACCTTAGAGTGTTGAAAGTGGCGTTGCGTAAGATACGATAGGATAAAGTAGAGTAAAGTAAAGTTGTTCCCGTATCCGATCCGGACATTGGGGATTGCCTTGTAAGTGAGACAATTTCCTGGGCCTTCGGCATATTGTGGTAGGGTGGCCAGTTCCTGTCCACGCCATCTTTACTTCCCCAACTTGAAGTCAGGTAACCATTACTGCTGGGTAGGCAGGAGGGGGCTAAAAAAAAAACCCCAGTGTCCAAACCGAGGCTCGAACCCGGACTTTCCGCTTCGGAGACGAGCGCAAAGATAGCATAAGATACTTAACAATCCCAGTATGACATTTCGCTCCGTAAGATACTACGACCGAGTAGAAAGACATAGTATCACGGTTCTGATGAGGTTGCAATCTAGTTTAAATTCTCCATGTATGCAGAATGTTCTGTTAGAACTGTCTGTCATAAAATCACGAGTAATACCGATATTCGGTAAAAATTCTTCCTCTCCAAACGTGGATCGAACTCAGGTCTTCTGCGTGCGACAACTGTGCGTCTATCCTCTACGCAAAGGAAACCGATTGATAACAATAACAACAACAACAACAACAAAACAACAACAACAACACTTACACTACCACCAACACTACCACCAACAACAACAACAATAAAACAACGTCAACAACACCAATAACAAAAACAACAACTACTACAACAATAACAACAAAGACAACAGCACTAGAGAACATAAAAGTAATAAAAACACTAACAACAACAACATGAATAATCACAACTACACTGACAATAACAGCTACAAAAACAGTTGCAGGAAAAGCAGTAGAACAGAGACTGTACTGAAAAATTATCAGCGTAGAAATAAGAATCTGAAGTTGTTGTTTAAAGTCATGTGAATATTCATTTATTCATATTTTGCATTATTATAGTCACCATTATAACATAAACATTAAATGTACAATAAAGCAATGGTCGTCAAAGTCAATAGTTTCTGGCGTTTAGAGCTCTCACTTTTATCAGAGATGGGACGGATGACTCGTGCATGGAACACTGTGAATGTGTGTGTGTGTGTTTGTGTGTGTGTGTGTGCGTGTGTGTTTGTGTGTGTGTGTGTGTGTGTGTGTGTGTGTGTGTGTGA